GAATACACGCGGGGAACGTTCTTATTGTGCGGTCAGAAAATGGAATTTCGCATGCGATCAGTTTCGCAGAATTCAGTACATGCGGTCAGAGTCTTAAAATATACATATTAGATATACAAGTTTCCAGATTGAGGATGGAAAAAATGTAATTATTATAACAAGCTATCATTTTACATTTTAAGTTTTTCTTTGTTACAAATTTGAGATTTTTAGATAATGTTTGCTCACTTTTGAAGGATGCGGGAGCTTACCTTATTCCACCATTGATTCATTGCTAAAAGTGAATTTAAATTTATGAACGAATTATTATTTAAATTTTATTAAAATTTATAATTGTGTTTTTTAAATTTATGAATAAATTCAAGACGTTAAGTAATAAATAACACATTCGAAAATGCTCTTACATGCTGAAAATGAAAAGTTATTTCAATCTGTTAGTTAAACACATATTCAGATATATCAACCATACAATATTTAGATAATAATTTTAAAAGTTATTGCCATAGAGACCAGGATCATACTGAGCAGTTTTGCCAAACTGGTTCAAATTTTAACAAATTTATTTCCCTCTTGCATGTATAGCATTAATACTTTTTGCAGGTATATTTCTTTTGATTACTGAATATTTAAGGCAGATTTCAAATTAAAAATCAAGAATCAAATCAAACAAAATCACAGGCTTCACAAACAACCAAAGGAGACTATACTGAAATTTCTAGAAAACAATTTTAAAGATTTATACATCACAGAAATATATTCTGCTCTAATTATTTCATTAACCTTACATTTTATAAGTTATGAAAATTTTAATGCACATATTTTAAGAAAATTTAGACAAAATGCTGATTTTTAAAGCAAGATCTTGGTCTCCATAAAAGACAGTAGCAACATTTAAAAAACAAAATTAACAAACAGAGGGTACATACACACCAATGAATATATACTTAGAGAAAGAAAGCCAACCTTACTGTAAAACATTTCTCAACAGATCATGAATTAGGAAAGAAAAATTTTAAACATTTCTTTCTTAAAATATGCACATGTACTTTCATATCACTTAAATTTCATCTCTGGGATATTTTGCATAGTCTCCATATCTGTACAATGAAAATATTTTCTGTTTAATTTGCTTATATAAGTATTTACAATATTAGATTTTCTAAATTTTACAGGTGAAATTTCTTAATGCAACAATCTGCTATTTTTTGGAGAGAACGTTACTTTATAAAAGTAATCTTAGTTTTCACGGAAACTAAGATTACTTTTGTACTAAAGTACTCTTAGTTTCCGTGAAAACTGAAAAAAGCAAACTTTTAATATAAGCTAGATTTCTTTCTATTGCAAATTTACAATTCAACCCCTTAAAACGTTCAGAGACATCAGTATTTAAAATATTGTATTGGAAACCATTTAAAAATTTCATAATTTTTCCCTGCGTGACAGTTACTAGTTTAATTGCTGAAATCATTTAGACTTGGGTAATAGATTGATGATCAAACTGATTGTGTTTTACCTACATAATTTAACCAAACAAGTGATACTTATTTCTATTATGTAGTCAGTAATAATACAGGTATTTACTCAAAGATGTTCTCTGAAAGTTGACGAGAATTTACTTAAAAAATCAGTTAATGAATAGATAGGGGAATAAGTCTCAAACATAATTAGGAAGCAAATCAGCTATAAAATTTTTAAAATTCTAAAATTAATGCTGTGATATGAAACAATTCCACTTGTAGGCTAATATTCTTATTTCTAACCTCATTTATGATATAATTATAAGTGTATTATTTTAACGTGTAACCGTATCATTAAAGATGTAGTAATAAATAACTAAATTTCTTCTCAACATGAATCTAGTTTTAGCGAATGTATGTGGATTTTCCAAATATGCAAAAGGTTTTAATCAATTGGGGCAAAGCACACATGGGCGATCTGACTAAAGAGTCTGCCTTTGTGAAAAATCCATGTAAGGGAACATGAAGCATTTCGTTAGACATTGGAAAACTGCATAAGTTTCCATGAAGTCAGCATATTCACCTGCCTTTGAAAAAAAATCTAATTACCAATGTTCATTTATTTTACCTCACTTCGCCTGTAACAAGAAGTCGATCTTCATAGACAGTCTGCCTACATGGCAGAAAACAATATCTGGACTACATTAACGGAAAAAGAAACTGCACATGTTGACACTTTCTCAGCGGAGAGCATGTACATGCATAACTGCTTTACAAACCAAATTTTATGGGGGTAGGAATTTCATGTCAGTGAATGTGTTGACAATGCGAGTTCATTACAAGTGTTAGACTTCCGTAATTTATTTGCCGTTCAGCCAACATGAGTGGGTACCATGGTTTATGGTTATGGGGTACTGAAGTGTGAATATCTAAGCTAAAAATATTGATTACTTAAATTTAGAAATCACTTTCGCATTTTACTATTGCATATATGCGGTAAAATGCTATGAGAATTGAAAATCCGGTTTGCTTACAATGTCAAAAGTCTGCTGAAAATTTATAATCATGCCTATCGGGCAATGAAAAACAACTTTTGTCGCTTTCGTGATTAATTTCCAGTTAGCCGTGTTATTAACGTCGGAGTTGAGATGATCTACCTTCTGTTAAAGCAAGAAAGAACCTAAATTTGTGACTTGCAAAAGAACCAAGTAAAATTACCGAAATCAAATGCTGAAAGAACTCGTCAGAAATTAAAGACTTGAAAAAGTTCGTGAGATTCATGTCGTAGACGCCACTTGTACCAATGGAGATGACAATGGCTGGGACTGTCGTACAAATGTTTCAGACGACAATGTTCAAAATATGTTAAAATAACTTTCTTCTAGCCCTTAGCTTCAAAATTTTTTTCTAGCATCATTTTGTTTCCAAACAGTTGACAGATTGCTTCTTCCTACAGACCGACGAAGCATGCCTTGTGCTCGGAGCTTAGTGTCTCAACATTAAAAATGCAGAAAGCATGTAAAATATGCAATAAGCCAAGGATTCGAATCTGCCAGGATGATTTATAGTTTGACAGGATTCGAATTCAGTCAAACTGAAAATATTCAACATTCTTTTCCACCTTGCCAATTGCTCAGTTTTATAGTTAACCTCAGTTAAATTCCAATAAATTATAGTATACAAGTATCTCCAAAAAACAGCAGATTGTTGCATTAAGAAATTTCACCTGTAAAATTTAGAATACCTAATATTGTAAATGCTTAATGTATAAAATGATAAAACGAAGGTGTCGGTTTGCTATAGGAAAAGTACCTTCAATATGGGATATGATCGCCTTATGCGGTCTATCAGTTCCCTAGGAATTGCTCTTACAAAGCAGTTGCAAGCGCGGCAAGGGTCTGTGGATTGAGAGCAGTTAGACATCTCCCTAAATCATCCCAAACGTTCTCGATAGTATTCAAGTCCAGGGATCGAGCTGGCCACTCCATGCGCATAATTCCTGAAGATAATCATCTACGAGCGATGAGAGCCCTGTGTGGTCTTGCGTTGTCGTCGGAAAGCATAACCTATTGCCCCGGGATATGGGCGCACATAAGCATCAAGGATGTCGTCTCTATAAATCTGAACATTCACGGTTCTCCTTGGAAAGACATGGAGGTCTGTGCGTCCACACTGCCCTTTCCGTATCCATCTCTTTCACGGATGTTTGACGGATGATAACGGATTATGTGTTCTCTCCATATCAAATAACTCCTACCATCGCTTTCTAGACTAAACTTGGACCCATCCGTAAGGAAACCCGTCCTCCATTGATCAGGCGTCCAGTGGACATGTTGTCGTGCCCACTGCAACGTCCCTTCTATGTGTGACGTAGTGGCACGCAAATGCTAGCGCTTCGCATACACCACCTTCGTGAAGCATTCTAGCACTTTGGGCGTGACACCAACCTTCCGGTGGCTGCAGCAAGGGAGGACCTAAGAAGAGTCGCAGTAGCGGTTCTATTCCTGCGTGCACATAATGTCAAATGTCGGTCATCGGTGCTACTCGTAGCAGTTGGCAGTTCTTGGCTGGACATCCTAGATGCCGAATCTGTGGTTTGAAATTGCCTGCAAAGTCTATGAACCACAGAAGGACTCGCATTTAGCCACCTGGCCACTTCTGTTTTACTTTGTCCTGCTTCTAGTCTCTCCATCGTAGTTCTCCAGGCAAATGATGACTGGAGGTCATTGTTACGAATTGTAAATCTCAGATTTCTGATGTACAATCACAGTGAAATATGCGGCCTTGCTCTCAAACATGGAATTTTATGCTCCTCGCAGATGACGTATTCCGCGAGCAGGGCCACTAATTTGCATATTGCAGTTTTACTCGGGAGTTATCGCTATTTTAGCGATTTTTCCTCAATTTATGATAACCAGTGTAGATATGGTTTCTAGACAGACATTTTACAAAAAGTTTCTTCCGAGGGAACAAATGAACATTAGTTTTGTTTACAAAAAACAAGGCCGATGACAAGTCGGACAGCTAGGCAGCCAGACTTGATACTGGAATTCCATACATCCCATTTTTTTTGGAAACTATCCCAAATATTTTAAACTGTATGAACCCTACATAGCTATATAGCCCAAAGATTATGGCATATTTAAACATCGAAAGGAATTTAGGCTGAAGGAAAATTTATGGACATTGTCATAAAATGTTTGTAGAATTGGAAAGACATTTTTGCAAGACTATAAAACTGCTTAGAAAATGGTAAATAATGTCAGCTACATTTTAAGTCTTTTCACACAAATTACACTGAAAAATAAAATAAATTTAGAGTATTATACAAGAGTAATTAGTTCATTAGTAAAATATTAATATTTCTACCTAAAGATGACGAAGAATGGAAAAGTTACAAATTTTATCTTTGCTTCAAGAGAGTCAAAGAAACCAAGTAATCATTTCAATCATAAAGGAATAAGACTGAAATAAAAGCTTTCCTTCTCAAATCTGGTATATATTCTTACACAGACATTATCCGATTTGGGGTAGGTACCCTACCTGGAGATGGGCGACAGGGGTATGTACCTGAAGCGGTTCGCCGGGTGATGGATCGGTCCAGGAAAACGTCGCTGCGGCGATAGGTAAGCGGCGAGGGGAGTGATGGCCTTGGCGTTGTTACTTGGGTTGTTGGCAAACTTGACCGTGATGGGTTCGGAGGCCCCCTCGGGGATGGTATTGTGCAGGTGCTTGATGGCACGCTCCGCCTCAATACGTTGATCGAAGCGAACGAAGCCAACGCCTTTAGAGAGACCTGGAAAAGGTGGTAGTCAGGATTGGAAAGGCATAGTCAGTAGAATATACAGTCATTTCTTAACGTCAGCATTCGGTTCACATTGCGATTTTCAATGACAAAAATGTTCGGTTTAACATTACAGTACACAATGATTCCACTTCAGTAGTGGTCAAAATCAGCTTTCATCATATACTTGGATCTGTACCTAAAAGGAATTTTAATGAAGCAAAAAATAGATTTTTATACTTCAATACAGAACTTAAGGAAACTTTTGTACTGGCTATTAAAACAGTCGATCCAAAAATGTTTCACGAACAAGAAAGGTCAGTTAGTTCTGAGCAAACTAATTACTTTTTCTTAGCAATATTAGGTCCATAGTTTGTAATCGAAACAAATATTTTTGTGGTAATCCCACTTTAATAAAAGAACATCACCCAGTTGCATACTTACATGCACAGAATATTGCACTTGAAAGTTCTTTCAAGTCTTTATTTGGAAACATTTCAAATGCTTTGTATACATTAAAAAACGACTTGTCTATCGAAAGTATTTAAATCCCGATCGGTAAAAGTTAATGCAAATTTAACCCAATAAGAAAGCTTGTACCTAAGAACAAGTTAAAGAACGAGACTTATCTGTATAAAATTTGTATGTCTGAATACGATAGCGTTAACAAAAATAATCATTCAACAAGCATCGTAATGAATTGACTCACCAGTATATTTCCAAAGCGTAAGATTTTGCATATGAAATTCAATAAAGTTATTATAATAACCGAATAAAGAATTTATTATAATTCAGAGCACTCTTTATTTGTAGTTCGAATGACACATTTAAATAAAATGTAATTTTAAAATTTATGTTGAATAACATGTTAAGCCTTTCCTTAATTGCTTTGAAATTTGTGCTAACCTGCCTACGCTTGACAGGAGACATGGCAAAAGCAATGAACAAAACTTACAATAAATCTTTTCAACATTTTATCAAGTACTTGGGTATTAACAAAAATTAAAAATCATTATCTATAAACAGATAACACAGTTCTAAAATGAGAACGAAAACATTTGTTGAAACGAAAGAGGGTGATCAGCTGTTCAGATAAGTGAAGGAAAGAGAGCGAGCTAATAAGTTACGCAAAGAACGATTTAAACGCGACTAATAAAAAAAGAAGGGATTTCAACATCATAGACTATTTTTGAATAAATGTGGCAGCTTCAAATTTATACGGAACACTATCATCAGATTTAGACATATTTCAGTTGGATAACATAGTATGTTTTCGCAAACAGTGGAAGTATATAGTCGAATAATGCAGAAATTATTAAACAATATTACGAGCAATGAGTTCGTATATGTTTGCAGTGTCTGCGATAGGCTCTGGTTTATGGAAAAATTTGACTGCAGTAAGAATGTGAAATTAATTACCGAGCTGAGCGAAGTTTCCAGACAACAATAAATGAGGTTTCCAAATGTGTGGTTCTTGGAAATTATGGCTCAGGAAAGGAACAGTAAGTCTACGCATTAAACCTAGCAGGCGTTTGGAACAGACAGCCTACCGTCATTTTTTAAAACTACCATTATTTAAAAAATATGATATTCGAACTATATTTTAACACATGTTAAAAATTATCTCTAAACGCTGACATGCAGCAGCTCTTGCATAAATATTCGAGATGTCTTCATAAAGATTCTGATGGTTAGCTGATAGATTAGTTTTGTCATAGCATTAATGAAGTACTGTTATTTAATAATTACAAGCGATACTGCGATACATCATGTAAAGCATGAGGCCACTGAGCGAATTCTTTCTTGTACCCTCAACAAATCCGAAGTTGGATATCATATGAAAACTACATGATTAGGATCTGCAAAGTAGCTGGCTGGTGACGCAGGAGAAAAAAAGGATCCAGATTTATGAATCTGGAGGTATCGTAAGGACAGAGGTGTTGAATAATGAAAATTCGTCAAACTGGGATTCACAATTAGTCAAAGTGGTGAGTGGCAAAAGGACTAATAATTGCAAATGTACATTTCACATATTACCGACATAATAATTGGAGATAAAAAGTAATGACTACATGTTAGACAAAAGCAGACATCAGAAGATTAAAAAATATTTTGCTGTTGTTGCATTAAAAAATGGTCTCAATTCTTAATAAAGGAATGCCATTTTATTATTATTAGCTCATTAAAAGTGTTTTGTTAACACCTTACCGAGCGCAGATTCTCTCTGCCATCGCTTTCGTCACCAATATCACTTCCTGAATAACTGTCAGGACAATCTGATAAATCGTCTAAATAAAACTCTGCAGTACCATTTTTTTTTCGTTCATCCTAAACAGTATTTTTGTAAAACTGTGTAAAATGTGGGAGCTTACGAAGCAACGCACTTAATGCAAGTGAGCAATGTACCTCAATACTAATAATAAAATGCAGGTGATACAGCAAATGGCAATTGTTTATCGCCATGGCTACCGATTGACAGGCTATTTTCAGGTATTCCCGAGAAAAAAGCGATTAATAGGCTATTGGTTCGTAAGCGATGGCGAAAAAAAAACGATTAATAGGCTATCGGTCAGTAGGCTTTGGCTAAAAACAGCCGATCGGTCGGTAGGCGATGGCAATAAAAAGACGATCGGTATTAAATAAACTGCTACTTTCGTTTTCGTTCTTATAACAAGACATCAGATAAGAATCATACGAAAGGACTTTTGAAATGACGCACTTCATAAGGGATTATAAACATTTTAATAGTTTTAGAATAGAATGCGAAAATACTATTAAAAGACTAATTTTCTTCTACAGTTAAGATAAAACAAATTTATAATTTTGCTTTGATATGCAAACATCATTACTTTATTCAAAATTTCGTCTTAACCGGAATAAATTTGTAGCCTCCATTCTTTCGAATATTCCCATGGAAGCAGATCATATTCTACCAGTTGCCACATATGTATATAGAGTTACTCATCATTCTATCTATTTGATCACCTCTGAAGATGGCAAGAACATATTTTCCATTATCCTAAATGCTTCCACTGAAATTCAAATGATTTGGATTTGGTCCATTTGATTACAGCAAAGCACACAAGGGGGATCTGCCTTATGGGAGGAATGCTTCTGCGGAGGACTTTCTAAGGGAAATTGCCTCTTATTCGCATGATACATAGGAAATCCACAAAAATGTCCATACAGGTATTCTAAATTGTTCATATGTTCAGGTATTCTAAATTGAATTTCGAAGGAGAATCGATAAATTGTTCGACATGTTTATTGAACTTGAAGTTGCCTTATGAGAGCAATATTTCTCTGGAAATAAGTTTAATTACTTCTGGGGAAGGTAAAGCTGAATGATTAATAGAAACCATCTCGTGGAACATAATACATTTGATTAGAGCCTTACGAAGTGGTGATTTATGTATAAGAAATCTCAGTGACATAAGAGATCCTCATCAAAATGAGTTTTCCATTTCTGAAGCAAAGCTCTTCAAGAAGTGGTCATTAGTCATATGCATTATTTACACACAGTTGAATTTTTATTTTTTAATTAGCACTTAGCTAAATTTTGATGAATTTCAGAAGAATTTCACCAAATTCTGCATAGTATTAAAAATAGCCATTTTGTAAAATAAATGCAAGTCTATTAAAGTTGGATGGATTACTAGAAATACAGTAAACTCCCGATTATCCGCGGAATTGGGTGGCGCGGCAGCCGCGGATAATCCGAAAAAACTAAAAACGGGTATTGCAAAAGAGAAAACAGTCATTCCAACTTTGAAAAATTGTTTTATGTACAATAAAACGTAAAATAAACAGCAGGAAATTTTTAACTAACGCTTAATATTTTAGTATATCACTCAAAACTAACCTATTTTTTTTTTTTTAAATTTTGTTAATGAAAACAGAAAAGTGCTTTGTACTTACGAGAGACGTAAAGGATACACAGAAAAATTAATACATATATACTGTTTTAATACTGTAATGTATTATGTAATTACAAAAGCATAACTGTAAAACTACACCTTTTTGGAGAAATCAGTCGTTTGTGTTTGCTTCTTGCTTTGGAAGCATTTTCTCTTGATCCGAGATTGCATTTATCGTAGCATAAGTTTCTCGGAACTCACTACCCGGAACTGCTTTCACCATATCGACAAGAGTCGCCGTGGGCGTGTCTACATCTTCATTTACTTCTTCACAACTCAAAGGGGCTAGGTTCAAGGTTCTTTAATATACTAAGGTTAGGCCAGGAACGGAAAAAGCGTGCCATTGGTTGCTGGTAGTGACGTCACCCGGGAGACAAGACGCATCGGCCGACGCGACTGCTACATATTTTGGTAATGGAAAAAATGTAAACTAAAGCAAAGTGATCATTTTATATGTGGTAGATAACCGGAAATCCGGGTATATACTTTCCGATTAAGTATTTTGTTAAAGAAAATGTTTATTTTATGCACAGAATTCGTACGAATGCTGAAATAATTGTAACATTAAATTCTTTTCGTAAAGGAAAGCATTAGAAAATGAAAACGTTATTTAAGTTAATTAAGGGAATAAATATTGTAAACAAGGTATTTTTCAATATATTTCGTAGTATTGTTGCACTAAATAAAATCTTGTTGAACAGAACGCATGATGGCATAACTGCTAAGACCATGGCAAAAACATAATCAAAAAGGTATTTTCTATTTATTTTCATTGCTCATGCGCTTTTTTTAATACAAATGAACTTTGACATTCCATGAGAAATATATGATCGTGATTTTCAGTTTAAATTACGTATCTCAAGCAAAAATCTATATAAAAAGATTTGAATCGACAAATTCATATTTAAATATCACAAAATTCTACAAATTTCTTAATATCACGTCATTATACTTTTAAATAGACTTATCACATTCTTTTTAAAGTGAAAAGTCACTTATTCTGATTCACTTCAGATTCCAGCAGAAGCGCATATATTTTCAGTATAATCTAAAAGCACTATTATAATTCCTTACACTCCCAAGATTTCTATATAA